ACACGACTGGAAATACTTTGTTCTCTACATAAATAATTGCCATCTTAAGGATGGAATCAGGAGGAAGCACTACGGAAAATAAATTAGCTAGAGATGTAGAATGTGTGTGTCAATGAAATGAAAATCACCCTCTACAAGCAGAATGCAGTTCCCTGGTCAGATTCCTGGCCAGGAATCTCATCAGAACGTGGTGGTCTGCTGGAATAGTCTTGACAGGTCTGAGCACTCTCTTGAGATACAAAGCCTGGATATAGTGGAGACATTTTTGTCCTTAGATGTTCCCCACACACGTATTCCCAATCCCACCTCTATTTAGCTTGGAAAATTAGATGATGTGAGTATCTATGGGAGGTTTTGCCAAAGCTCAGTATAATGTTGGGGACAAATATGCTGTTAGTGAAAATAAGTAAGTGAAGATCTGGGGAAATTCTCATTTCTCACTGCACAATTCTCTGCATCTCTCCTGTAGGAAGTCTCATCACTATTATTATCATCTACAACACTGTTTTCTTTTATTATTATTTCTATTATTTATTACTCTGTTACTTTAGTTAATACTTCACTGTTCATCACAGAGTGGCTGTTGCTGATTTCTTGGTCAGGCGGGTTAGGAATCCCTTGCCATGTCAGAGCGCAAAAGGCCCTCTACTTGTGAAAGAGGCTTGAAGTTTCCCATTGGTCTGAATCCCACAACATTAAAATGCCTATGAGAGTCACTCATAAAGTAATACCTGGTTTGGAACATATCATAAGGCTGTTCAACAGATTTCTTAGACCTTTGTTTAAATAGAAAGCCAGAGCAAAAGCACAAGAACCAGGCCAGATACAGTACCACAAGAATGCAGTGTAGTATGATGGGAGCCAAATTATTACAGCAAACAGATTAACCAAACTTGAGGGATTTTCAAGATTTAAAAGCACCTGGAGTTGTTGGGTTCTTCATGAGTAAGCCTGTTGTTTATTTTATGTACTGTATGTGCTCATGTGTTTTTTGGAGCACTTCATGTTGGTGGTTGAATTTGGGTCCAAACTATTTTCTGGTCTGTTATAGGTCTATACTATTATAGGTTTGAAGCATTGCTGTTTGGCATATTTTTTCTTTTAAGCTGAAAGTCCTCATAGACCTGGAGACCAGCCATTTGGTACTGGATCTCTGAGACTTCTTATTCTGCACAGGCAGATGGGAACCCTTCTTAGCCCGTATTTTGGTATGGTCCTCAGGCTATGCTTGTTCAGATTGGTATCTTGTTCAAGAAATTTGAGCCTCATTGTCCTGAGATGAGACACATTTGAAAGGGAGAATGTTTTCCCTTCCTTATTACAGCGTCCAAAATACTACATATTATTACAGATTTACTAGCTGAAGTTGAATTAATATATGCAAAAGTGGACTTGAAGTGTATTCAGAGTCTAAATTTTATAGCACTTTTCTAGCCCGAGGGAAAATTATTGTCTTGGAGAGGTTTGTAGACAGCTTGAGCAACATCTCAGATTTGTAGATCAGTCAAATAGAGCGATGATTACTAGGTTTGAAGTTTCTTTGATGTTTCCTTGTAATGTTTCTCACAACATTTGCAGAGTTGCTTTCTCCAAGGGTATTTTCTGTCCACTTCAGCTGAGTTCTCTACAAAGGACGTATTGAGTCCATTGCTGAGGTCTGTCTAACTGTCTGCTGAAGGTGAAGCCTTTCACCTGTTTTTAGCTTCATCTGCAATGAAAAGCATACGCATGTCAGATGGGTTTTCTCCTTAAAATTCCAAAGCAACTATTAAAATGTCAGTCTTCACCCTTGTCAGATATAAGGAAGGGTAGTGAAAAGTTAAAAATGTTACTGAATTACTGTAGCCTCTCAAATGGGAAGTTCAATCTGCCGAATGCCATAAGGTTATACCTTTTCACAATCAATTCTTTGGAGACATTATTAACTACAGAGTTAACAGTCTTGTAGGCATTATGTTTGGAAAGAAGTACATTACCAGGCTAAACATTAACCTGTCCATCAAAGAAGCTATTGCTGGGCAAAGAATCAGCTGTTACGCAAACTGAACACATTCATTTCAGTTTGACAGTGATGAGATGTTCACCATGCAGTACCTTTTTTCTTCCAGCCATTTCGTCAGCCTTCTTCAATGATCTCTTCTGAAGCCAGTTTCTCCCCCATTGGAAAGCTACAAAAAATGTATTATCTAGTGCAGCGATGTTAGCTAGCTCTTTTCACATAAGGCCTTATTTGTTTGTTGGTTTTTAATAAATGCATGCAAAGGTAGTGATGGTAACTGAAACCTTACCAGAAAAGAGAGAAAAATTCTTTTCCCCTAATTCTACACATTTTTTCCATATCTGTGGGAAAAATGAAGTGTGAAAATATTTGATGTGTCCATAGAAGCAATGTATGTTATGGAAATACAAATTTTGCTATATATTATTACTGCGGTGCATCGTAGTTTTAGAATCATTTACAGTTTGTTGTTAGATTAACAGTTCATTAAGCTAGTGCTTTTCTTCTCACGAGATGTGACAATTTTACAAATTGCTTTAGGAAGATAATATGTTTCCAGGAATAAAATCCGTGTAATGTCATGATCATTCATTAGAAATAACGTCGTGCGTAGTGAGAGTAAGGACTAAACGTTTTAAATGACTGATCTTTTTAAGCTGAGCATCAATGTCCAGGAGGAAAAAATATTTTCAAAGATATTCTATCACATAAAAAATTATGTGCGGCTAATATGAAAGAATCACACTTGATAAATTAGCCATTGCCTCAGATAACTAAATAATTTTCATCCAGATTTACAAATCTTTCCTTTCGTTAGAACAAGTTTTAGCTTAGTGTTTCTAGATACTGATATAACCTCTGTTTATTCCAAGTTAAAATTTTAAGTGAGGATAATTCTGTATTTCCACTGTTGTCCAAATAGTATTATATAACCCACATTCTCATGTATGTATCCTGAAAAACAGATTTATTCAGTTTAAACCATAGTTATGGTACAAAGCATTGCAATAAAGATATTCCTTCTGATATTCTTAGCTTTTTAGTCTGTTTTGGTGGCATAAAGTTTTCCATAGGTTTAAAAGCTGCTTCTGCTTTTTATATAGCAGTTTGAAAATTGTTATACAATCTTATGCACTGAAATGATTACTGGAAAATATGGTTATGTGTATATATTTATCCCTATAAAAGCAGCAGAGGTAGTGGGTTTATAATATTTGTATGCACATTACAACTGTTTTTTTACTTGGAAACAGTGTTTTACTAGTTTGTAAGAATCCTCTAAATATCAGCTTTTAACTGCTACTGTTACAAATTAACCCAGTGAAGTGTGTTAGCAAACAAAGAAAAATGTTGAGTCTGTATTATGTCTCTTTTGTTTATGTGATGGCTCCAGTTAAAGCATTTTAAAAACAGTGTTAAAACTTATTTGAATTTGGTAGTAATAGAATTAGGTATTTATTTTTTTTCAAATTTTGCATGTGTGCCTCCAGATCATTTTTTAAAGGAGAGAATGAAAATCTGGAGTTATGTTTAGCTACGAGTTCTCATCACCTTCTGCAATTCTTACCTTTGTGGAGGCATTATTAAAGGGTTCCCAGTTCCCAATAGCAAAGCAACAAGTTTCATATTTCATGAAGGCAAGATTGATCAGGAGAAGTGACGAGCTCTGTTAGTCCCTGTAGAACTCGTTCTTCATTTGTACCAAATGATTTGATGCCAGAGAAGATACTGTCTTCTGGGACCAGTGCCTTTCAGTGGTTCCTGTTGACAGGACGAGAGACAATGGACGCACACGGGAACGCAGAAGGTTCCCCCTGAACATCAGGAAACACTTTTTCACTGTGAGGGTGACCAAGCACTGGCACAGGTTATCCAGGGAGGTGGTAGAGTAGAAATTCAAAAGCCATTTGGTCAGAGTCCTGGGCAACTGGCTGTAGGTGTCTTTGCTTGATCAGGGAGGGCTTGGACCCGATGAGAGGTCCCTTCCAACCTCAACCCTTCTGTGATTCTGTGATGATCTTGCAGTAGGCCGCAGATACAACTGGTGTATATTACTTTTCAGACCTTTACATAGGAAGATGTGTATAAAGTGAGACATAGTTAATTTTATTATCTGTGTTGTATCATTCTTATCAGGAGGATTGCAGTTTGACATGACATTTTATCAGCTCTGATTATATATTATTCGAGGCACTCTCTGCCATTATTTAGTTTTTGGGTTTTTTCTCCCTTTCATTGTTCAGGTAAATATCAGCTGTCTCCAACGGTGAACATGCCCCAGGATGACACTGTCATCATTGAAGATGACAGGCTGTCGGTCCTCCCTCCTCATCTCTCTGACCAGTCGTCATCCAGTTCCCACGATGATGTTGGGTTTGGCACTGTTGATGCTGGTGGATGGGCTAAAGCTGCAATTAATGAGTCAACAGACTGGTAAGAGCATGGTTTAGTGGAAGGAAGGAAGAGACGACTGCAGTTATGTCTTTTCCTTCCGTTTCATTTTTGGCCACTGCTAATATTAATCTTTTTTTTCCTCATCACATTTAGATTTCACGATTTTTCAAACTGGTAATTGTCCCTGTTTCAGGAAGGAAGTTCGTATGGAAAATTTGTTAGACTTTCTACTGTTGGTTGCAGTTTTGTGCGCTGTCAAAGCACATTTGTGGAAATGTTACTAATTGTTATTAAGACCAAATCAGTATATAGCTGTGTTAATTTGAGGATTTAATAGTAATTTAGTTGCCAACTGAGCTAGCTTTTGTAAAAAAACCTGCAAAATTTAAACACTTGATTTTATGAAAGGTGAAAGAATAATTCCAATGGGAAATTTTAATTTATAAACCTCACTGTAAATATTTCTAAGTCTATAAAACAAAGATTTTATTTTTATATTCCACTCTATATCTAGGAGCCTTTCAATACTTCCGTATACTTTCTTGGTTTTCCTAATAATGTACAGTAATTTAAAAATCTGCTTAGAAGTCAAGGCAGCTCTTTGTTTTGCCTTACTGTTAATGCTTGTGCAACAAGAACTAGTTAAGTTTTCTTTATTATGCATGAAGAACTACCTTTCATCTCAATATATGATTTGGAACATGCAAAGTGTACTGTAATAGCTCTACATTTAGAAATACGGAAAGTAATAGTTCCACATTTAAAACCATGGAAAGTAACTTTATTTTACCTGTTTAATCTATAGTAAAAATAATTTCCGTGAATCTTAGGTTGACTCTCTAATTACTTTTACACATTTTAATGTAAGAGTCTTAAAGAGTCTTAGTGAGAAATGCATTGAGCTCCATTATTGACTTGCTTAGGTTCGTGGCAAAGAAATACTGTTCATTGCTTAGTTAGTACAATTAATACAGATCTAAGATTTAATTTGCAAGTCCTGTAATTATCTATAGTAATAGCAAAATAAAAGCCCACCCTTGTACACTGCCACTTCTTGAAGCTAGATAATTACCCCAAATGGTGTGAAGTATATGAATTTTCTTATTTCTTGAGCCTGTTACGAATGTGTCAGCAATATCTTCATAAAACAGCAATAGCACCTGCCAGCTGATAGGCACCTGTCAGCTTCTTCTTTGCTTTATGTTAGTTTATTTCATCTTATGTCCAGGAACTGAGTGCTTTATTTTAAGCACTATTTTAATGATTGTATAAAAAGGTAATTTTTTTCATCCTCATTTACTTTTTTTTTTTTTTTTTAAATGTTGCAACTCTTCTTTTGGACAAGTCATACCTGTAATTTGGGCCCTTGAAAAGTCCATCCGTCTTTTGTAAAAGCTTTTAGAGCTAAGAATCTGAGACGTTTAAATAGAATAGTACTCAAGGCTGCACATAATAGCTTATTGCTGAGGGAATTTTTTTAGCCGAATATGAGCAAAAACCTACAGCATAAAGTAAGAGCCCATTTGAAACCTGCGGATGCTTTTACATTTACTTCTGCAGCGTATCTTGCTATTCATATACTTCTTTGAAAATGAAAGTAACAGTAAAGAAAATAGGGATTAGCTATTGTGGAATTGATCACGCTCAAAACCTTTAAACGTGTGTGTGAGAAATTGTAAAGGTCTTCAGATACAATTGCACTTAGAAGAGTAGATCAGTGCAGCGCCTTGCTATCTAATGTATTCTATTTGTAAAAAAGTAAACAGCAGTAGAATTAGATTGTTGCATTAATTTCCTGCTGCTAATGGATGAAGGAAGACTTGTAAGATGAAGGTGCATTGTATGATTTTGCTGGAAGGCACAAAGGGTAAAACTAAGAATATGGATGAAGGGTTATCCAAACAAGAATGGCAGCTGTTCTGAATCACAGAAGAAAATGTAAGCTTTTCCAGCCTCACAATATCTCCCTAATCCTTGATGAAAATGTTATGAAAACAAAGGGGCAATAAGACAGGATTAATAAGTGGAATTTTAATAACATTGAGGGTCAGAAGACGGTTACATTCTTTTAAGGATCAGCTGTCATTCCAGAAATCTTATTTGTTAAGTATGCTAGAATATAGTAAATTACATTTGGCATTGCTTAATGACTTGCACTAAATTCACCTTCTGTCTTTTATTAATGTAGTTGAAAAATATTAAAATGAGGCATTTTTAGGGGCATTAGTTCCTCTTCTGTGCTCATTGGTTTTTCCAGTTGTGGATCTTCACGGGGGCTTTTGAATATTTTTAAGCAATGTGCATGAATTCAAACTCCTGTGATCTGCTCCTTCCTTAATTACTAAACCACGCTCATGGGTCATTAATAATAGAAATAAACCAGGACGTGAAAACTTATGACTCTAGATAGGACTCAGCTATTTGCACTGTAAAAAGGTAATAGATGTCGTGATGTCAGAGAACAAGTAATTTTTGGTGCTAAGTAGCGCCTTTAGTATGCAGGATACTATGCAAACACGGAGTAATAATCCCCCTAATAAGTGTGTGTGTGGAAGGGAGGTGTGATAAGAGCAGATAAGGGAAGCAGAGAGAAAGCCCCTAAAAGCGGCGTCAGTGGAGGCACTGGGATCCAGTCTCCAGAATTCCCGGCTGCTGACGCAGTGTCCAGACCCCACAGCTCTCCCCGGGACCTGTGATGCCTTTTCGAGTTTTATTTAACTTTGGAGTTTTAGTCTGTTCTTAGGACTTCAAGTTGAATATATATAAGTGCATGCTGTATTTACATAAAAATGATATTCAGATTTATTAGAAGCTTTATATATATGGATCAAAGCAAGCTCATATGAAAAAAGGAGCATACAGCCAAACCAAACAGTTTCAGAAATTGACCCTTTTTGAAGAAAGCGTCACAGGATACGTTTTGTTCGGCAAGATGAAGCCGGTCATCTTTAACTAACGTGAGCTATGTTAACAGATGTTGCTAGAGAAAATTCTCACTTAGTAAAACCACATTTTTCTGGCCTTCAGAGACAGGGCTGAGTAGCAGTGAGCCAGAAACTCCTGTGTGGCCTTGGGAAAGTCATTTATGATCTGATTATGAAAGGTGTTGAAACCCTGTAAGTTCAGTTGAGTCACTCGGAGGATGTTTTCAGACCTAGGTGGTTCTTATTCAGCTACGTGTTGCTCTGCTGTAAATGCTAGAAGTCTATATTGGCCTTGTCTGTTTTATCTTTCTATCATGTGGAGATAATTTTTTCCCTGTTTTGTGGGAGTGAATGTGAGGACTAACTAGTTATTTTTGACTTGGGGCTCTGATTCATCAGAGCTTGTAAGCATATGCTTCCAAACGGTGCTAAATTGTGCAGACATCTCTGAAATAGTTGCAGTAATTAAATGTAAAACATTATGAGCCTGAGCCAGAAACATTAAAGTCAAAAGGCACTTGACATTGACTTTATTCGTATAAGCTCTGATCCTGCTCTTGCTTAAGTATTATATGCTTGTCACAGGCACATATCTTATTATTTGTAAATCTGCCACTACCAGACTGAATTTCTCCTAGGCTGCCTGGTAATGCGGATAGCGATTTTCATCCTTCATACTACGTGATGCCTTTGGAGACTTTTCCTTACCTCTCTTCACTGTTGTGCCTAATACCCGAGTGTTTCTTGATCAAAGATGCTTCTATAAATTATAGTACATGGCAGACATAAACATGTGCATGTTACACAATTTAAAAGCGTAAGTTGGTTTCTGCAGAAATTCACTATTGGCCTGTTTCTCTCTAGGTATGAGGCATGTGTTATAGTTAGCCTTTAAAGTAAAAAATAATTATTTTGAAACACATTACTGAACAGTAACATGTATGTATACAGTATTTTGGATGGCATTTAGTCTATTTAGAGATCTCAGTAACAAAATATTTAGCTTTTTTTTTTAACTTGATGTACAATAACTATTAAAGGGGGGATTTTGAGCAATCTTTTTTCCTATAGGATAGATAACAATCATGCAAAATACTATTTTTTCAGTATTTTATGCTTTTGATTTCTTTTTTGTGCCAGCTGAAGTAGAAATCTAAATTCTCTGGGCTTGCCTTTACGTTCTTTTTAGTACTGTCCCCTTTTCCAGGAGTCAGAAGATCTCTGTGTGCCTTTTCTTTCATATTGTTTATTAGCAATAAGCAATCTTGCAAATTTTGTTTTGTTTTGTTTTGTTTTTAACGTGTTTTGGCCATGGTGACACATTGTGAGCCTGGAGTTTAGCTTGCACACTGAATTTTGCCTGCTTTTATTCTGCCAACATTTGACCAACATTAATAAATCTATCTTCAGTATGCTTCTGATGAAGCATGGTGAACCGCCGATCACTGCTCGCTGAAGACCTGACTCATTCAGCCGAGGTCATGCAAGAAACCTACAGAAGAGACCAAAACTCAGCCCAGTTACCCCGTTTCTGGTTTAGTGGTGGAACTGTTGTGGCAAATACTTGCTCTGTAGGGAAGTAATGAGTAAAAATATGTTTGTCTGTCACAGCCAGGTTAAAACCAGGAGATGCTGTGAAAAATTTTCAAGCAATTTCACATATGGAGAGAAATTTTAATGCAAAGTCTTTAAATGAAGAAGTTACAAGCTCTGTGGGCTTCAGGCAGGACAGGTTCTATTTATGCTTTACTAAAAACATTTTGTGATGAAGAAAAATCTGATAATTTGCTATCAACAGAATATATTTGTTTCTCATGAAGAAAAAGGAACTGTTTTATTCTCCCTCAAATTATTCCTGTCTTGGGGCTGTACATTCTCACAGTATATGTATAGTGCACCAGCTATGTATATCTTTCATTAAAGCTCGTAAATGAAATTCTTGATATTTTTGAACTAGAATTGCTCGATGCAGTAAAACAAATCCATCGTGTGTGTAACTGACTACTTGCAGTGGTTTATTTAAAAATGTGTACTTTATTGTTGGTAGAAGTCACGTGCTAAATAAATGCTTTTCTCTGCAGAGTGAAAGGTTGCGTGATCTTGATAAATGTTCGCATGATTTTTTTCCCTTCCTACAGCACTCTTAGTCCAGATGTTGATCCAGTGCTTGCCTTCCAGCGAGAGGGTTTTGGACGCCAGAGCATGTCAGAAAAGCGTACAAAGCAATTTTCAGATGCCAGTCAGTTGGAGTTTGTTAAAACACGAAAATCCAAAAGCATGGATCTAGGTAGTGAGTGATATTTTTTCAATTGTTTTATTTGAACCTGATTTTCATGTTGTAAGTATATAGATTTGTAATTCAAAACACATTGTTTATGCGCAGTACTACTGCACGTAATGTCTACTGGTGGGAAGTAAAGTATTCTTAACATGAATGGCCAAGTGGCCTGTGTATTGTTTGTACCACTTGTAAATGTCCATACATTTAAATATTGTAGCCCTCTGCATATATGGTTATACATAAACATTTATTAAAATGGAGGTGAAAAGTGCATTTACCGATCCACGTAGAATAACTGCATAGAACTACCATGCTGTGGTTCTGGGTAGACAGGATTATTCTCAGTTCATGATTATAATGCAATTAGCCTTAAAGATCCTTCGTAGTCTCTCATTTTGTAGATGGATTTTGATTAAGATATTAAAGATGTGAGTATTTTTTTTAAGAGTTCATTCAGAAGTAGAAAATGGGGCTAGTGTGACATCTGTTTGAGACCCAAGTTTTAATGTTTATATCAGAAGCCCTATAAAGTAGCAGCGGCTAAGACAGGCAATCGACTATAATCATTTTAATTGATAAAACAAGTGAGAATAAGTAATCGCTAACAAGCTCATCTATTTTTCTGCCATTGAATTTAGATTCTGAAGTGCAGACCCTAGTAACCTTAAACAGTGAGTTTCGATTGTTTCAACACACAAAATTCCCTACTCAGAATAATAAAATGAAATACAATTCGCTCCTTTACAATAATTGTGAATATCTTAACTACAATCCCTAATTCACCAACTTCCTCAGGGGACAGTAAGGTTGGTGGTATTGACTTGTCTTGACTAGTTGTGATGTGCTAACGTGTAAATAACATATTGTACCTGCCTGTGATGTGAACATGACTGACATTGCATGAAGGTTACTAGTTTGCTGCCATTTCTACCCAGAATGTTTGCTTCCTGTTGCAGTTTATTTGCATGAAGTATGACATTGCTAAGGTCCCCTAACTTGAAAAAAAGAATATGCAAAACAGAAGGAATGTTGGATGCATGTGGGGCATGGGCACTAACTGGGCTAACCGTTATACATTTACCTTTTAACAGTAGCTGACGAGACTAAGCTCAGTACAATGGATGACCAGAAAACAGGTAAGAATTGACAGTAAGGCTGTTGCTATAGAAACCTTGGTCAAAGCAGCTTACCACAATTACAGAACTGCCAGTCAAATTGCATGAAAACATGAATATTCCAGTACTTGCATGGCTGCTTTCTGTTGTTGTGAATAATCAAGTCGTACAGAAAAAGAAAATTCTCTATAGAGATAAGTATCTAGGGTAGTATATTCAAGCAGGTCATACGTGTGACTGTAGGTAGACACCTGTTTCTATACTTTGAACTCATAAATATTCACAGTTGTTTAGATTTTTTGTCCTTTCAAAAAAAATCTTGGAAAATCTCCTCCTAGCTTCGAACTCTTAATGTACAGAGAGATGATGTAGAAGAGTTGAATGTTTGGCTATTACAGTGCTAACACGGTGCTTGGAAATAATTATTTTAATTAGAAAACTGCTACCTTTGCCTTAAGTGGTCATCAGATACATGTTGTGAGTTGAGTTGAAGATTATTAGTGCAAGTTGATTTGCCTTTGGAGCTGAAACCCGAGCATCGTAACAGAACAAAAGAATATGTAAATAGAATCTTTTCCGCATACCATCAATTGTAACGTTTCACACAATGATAATGAGAAATAGCTTTCAAAGCATATTTTTTATTAGTAATTAAAATAATGCACCAACTGCAATTATGTACCTTTATGATTTATTAATATAAGTTAGCTTTTGACCTTTGGAATGCTATTTTAATTAGACTGGATCCAGAGGACACCATAACATTACTTAGCTCTAATTAGGAACAATTCACCTTTGTAACCCGAAAATATTATTTATTTTAGCATGATTTGGGGAGTAGGGCATTCCATACAGAATTTAAATTTAATAATTCACAACTGCATCTCTGTTTAACCACTCGTTACAGCATCAGTAGGAATATTGAAAAGCTGTAAGTAATCAAGTGATAAAACTGTAATTTTTACTTAAACAGCTAAAACTTCTAGCTCTTAAAATGTTGCAGAATAAGGCCACAGACTTGCAGCTTTACAAATTGAGAATGAGAACACAAAATTAAAATGTATGAATGTTTTGAAGGATTAAAGCCATCAGAGTGTGAATGTATGGATTGTGTTAATGGTTGTGGTAAGAATCAGTGCTTAGGAACTGCCTTCAACCCTGAGCGTTATTCACATAAGAAGGAGTTACAGATCAAACTCACAATTATTGCAAATTATTTTTCATTTTCTTATTAGCCTGCCTATTTGAATGGGATGTGATTAGAATGGCATAAAACCTGTGTGTTATAGTAAAATATGATGCTTAGTTTTTTAAAAGTGCATAGTGGTTTTGGCGGTATCAATAGAGGGTGGTATTAATCGAGTGTAGTTTTTCTCTGTGTGGAACACCTGGATTAAATTCCCAAAAAGAGACAAGTCAAGAGACAACTTGAGTGAAAGAGCATGACCGTAACCATCTGGACTAAGCAGTTACATATTTTGTGCTCAGCAAGCTCAGTGGCTGAAAAAAAGGAAAAACACCTTTTACTGTACTTTTATTTTATTTATCTTGCGTGCTTTTAACCAGTTTTTGTATATAAACACTGGATTTCTCCCATTACTGAAGATGGATGTGGCTGTTAAACAAACCACTTACTGTATTTTGGCTTAAAAATCATCTGGTTCTAAGAAAAAGAAAAAAAAAAGAAAAAAAGCTTCAAATGTGTGGTGAACTATGTTTTAATGAACTCTAGAAGCCAGAAAACTTCAACATATATTTACTTTAGAGAAAATAAAAACAAACGCTGTTACAGTCAAAGTTGGAGTTAATAGTATTGGCTGAAAAGGAGAGTGTAGAACTCACCAGCCCTAGTTACTATAATAGAGTTTTAATTATTTTTCTTTCTATAGTTCACTTGAAGTGCCTAATCCTTGCAGTGTTTACAGTTCATCCTGGAGGTTAGAAGTATATGCAGTAGCAATTGAGCATGGCTCATTTATTGGGTCCCAGGCATGTTATAGTTCTAGGTGGTTATTTTTCCATGTACACGTTGTGAAAATAAAAAAGAAAGAAAAACAATCAAAGAACATTTATTCAAATTGTTTATTTATTTATTTTTACACAGTGCTTTTAAAATAAACTTTTCCATTTTTATTAAATGGAACCAAAACTAAACTATTTTTGATGCAGTTGCTTGCTTTGTTCCTTCCCTGCTCTCCCCAGCCAAAATGTTACTCTTTTAGTCTATGAATTGAACTAGAAATAGAATTTATCAAGTCTAATGGAGCAGATGTTAGCAAATAAATAGACTCAGTGGTAATGTCCTTTAAGAAAGTGTTTAGAAAGCAGACTTTGTGCCTTTGCAAAACTGGTTTAATCAAACCGAAGGAAGTTTTGGCATCAGTTGCTGGTAGCATTTAACCTGAGAGTTAATAAAAATAATGTTTCAGAAAAAACCAAAATTGTCATTCTAAATCCTTTAAAAGAAAGTGCTGATGAAAATTTTATAGCCTTTAAAATTAGTCACTGAAGGAAACATCCTATATCCTTTGACACCATACTTTTTGCATTTGCAAATCGCCCAAGCGGATTTGTGGCGCTGTATAAAAACTTAACGTGAGGTGAGAGAAGTGGAAGCACAGTGAGTTGTTAAACAGCATCAGCACAAGGGAAGAACAAAGGGCTCAGAGAAGGGAGCAACATGTAGGTTTCATGTGACCTATGCCTATTAAACATCTCGTAGGATCTGTACGTGCGGTGGGGGCTGTCTGTGCCGCGTGAGAGCAGACGTGCACACTGCCAGTGCGGTCATGCATGAGCAGAGGTGGTTGCATGGCCGGGAGAGCAAGGCTTGGCCGATGTCCCCAGTGGCTGGCCAGCTGGGGCCCTAGGGACTGGTGATGCGCGTGTGGTGGGCAGAGGCTGTGCTCGGCGGGGTGGTCTGAGCATGTTCCAAAGCCCTCGGGAGATGGATAAGGGTACGTGGCACGTAGAGTAGAGCCGCGTGGCTGAGCGTGTAAGCGGAGTGTGCGGGGAGGCTGCGCACATGGTGGCAGTCACGGTAGAAGGACCGCTGTGGTACGGAGGGATGAATCTACCTCAAAGCATATTTGTTAAGAAAATTGTTGGAAAGGAAAATTTTGATAAACTTCAAATTTTAAAAATGATAAAAGAATCCCTTTCATCCCTCAGTCATATAAAGATGCTTCAGGTAGATGTGTCTTTTTCTCTTCTTTTTTTCTACTTTAAATTCTGGTGTCAAAATAGAAGTAGAACTCATTCTGAGCAGATAACATTTCTGATGATTACCACCAGCGCTGTAAAGGCTGGAAGAAAATGCTGACATTTTTGTATTTAGAAAACAAGGTTTTGATGTGACTCATAAATTTTAAACAGAATCCATTTTAAAGAAAGTTTGCTGTTTCTCACTGGATTATGGGTAAACAACTCACTTTCTGGCTGGTGAATTCTAGTAATAAATTCTGAACTCACTCAATTTGCAGGCGGGTTTAACTATATATTTCGAAAATAGTAGACTTGCCATGAAGTGGCCATAGAAGATAGTGAAGGTATTAAAATATACATAGCTTTATGATCACAGTGCTTAAACTGCTTGCAAAAGGACATCTCCCTCTTTCAAATTCTGCAACCTGTCCACATTTGTGTTCCTGGCCACCCAAGTTCAATAAATATTTCTATCATTTCTGTAATCTATTATTAGTTTTACAGTACTCAAGGAACATTAGGTCATATCCCATCTAGCTTTTCCTTTGGGAAAGCACAACTTACATAAATACAGTTCTCACACAGATCTGTATTGGGTGGCAGGAAATGGAATTTTTTTCATGTCCTTTATGAACATAAATGGGCACATAAATGCCTTCTTTATAATTACTGTTTACAAAAAGAGCCACTCAGTAATTAGGAAAAGATATATGAGCATTTCATTTCAAGGTTGCAAAGCAGAATCTGGAATAAGGAAGTTTACAGTAAGTTCCCGTGTAAGAGGATACCCTTTCCTTTTGTATATGAAATTGAATCTGTCAAACAGCTGGTTTATATATGATTGTCCCATTTCCTCTTTTTTTCCTTCAAAATGTTGCATTCATTTTTCCTGTCTCATGGACCGTTTTTAACAAAATACAATCTTGAAAAGTAAAGCCCAAGATCTCATTTCTTGTGTACTGCAGGCATTAGTGGAGGAATAGCAGCTTGGGCATATGCTAGACAGTGGGCAGTTTTATAGGACACTGTCTACACTGGAGTTCTTTTACTTGGTAGAGAGCACACTATGTAAAAATACTTGCCCTAGACTTCAGCCCATGTTCAGGAGTTTGGTGAAGCTGGGCAGCAGTTTGTTTGCACAGCTGGGAAGCCACCAACCCCCCCTTGCCCCAGCCGACTGCGCTTGTTCACCCCAGCAGCTGCGCTGTGCCCCCAGCCATCCCCCTGACCCTCGGCCCTCCAGCACGTACGGGCTGCGAGTGAGGGTGGCTTCTTCTAGGAGATGTGAGTTCACCGAGATAACTTTTCTCATTTGTTGGGGTGGGTTTATTTCAGGCCGAGGGTCCAAACGGCAGGACTCGAGACCGCTGGGGGAACCAAACTGCAGGAGTTGTGTAGAGCTGTGAAGGAGAATTTTTGGTTTGTTTCTGTTTACAAGTTCATCTTATCAGTAGGGCAGCTGAAGGGGAATAGTTTGACAGCTGCTGTTTGAATTTATTTGATCTGAGGGATTTCAGTTTAACTTAATTGCTCAGACTTTTAATAGCTGAGTGGAAAATGAAGGCGTTTGCTGCCTTGCTCCATCTCATACCAAGTTAGCGAACAACATGGGAAAGACTGGCCGTGCTGCTATTCTGCATCCCTTCTGTAGGTCCAGCAATCCCCTTCCTCCCCACCCAGTAGTGAATAGTGAAAGAAGGTGGGTGTAGCAGTGTAGTAGCCATTTTCCTCAATGTAAGGTAAATTCACATACCTTTGTTAAAGAACTGTGGCAGATACTGTTTCTCTTCTCCTTCCAATATCTACCAGAATAGGGATCAACTCCAGAGCTTTCTATTATTCAGAGATAAATACTTTAAAAAGATCATTTTCCTTTATTGCATTATTCACACCAGACCTTGCTTACCAATGTGTTGTTCATTTTGTTTGGTATTCCTGAGGGTTCAGTTCTTGGCTTTAGCTCTCAGTGCTGGCCGGTTTTGAAATTTATCTTGCTGTGCCTCTGTCAGACGAGGATATTGATATCAACAGAGTAACAGCCCACCACCTGGGACTGCTGTGGTGCCACAATGCCCCTCTCTGTTCTGCTCCCTTTGGGTAGAGAAAAAGTGGGTTTCCATATTATAGGTGAGGGCTCTAGTCTCTAACTTCAGGAAATGTAGCGATGATGATGATGATCTCCCACCTCATCTTTCTCTTCAGCCACAAATCTTGCCAAGACTATACTGCATTTTTGAATAAAATAACTTCAACTAAATGCACTGGGTTTTTTTTCCCCCAAGGGCTCTCTCCCAGTTTTAACAATAATATGAGATCTAATTGTGCAGCTGTCAGCTGATTTGCACTTTGAGTGTGTATCTAAAAACAGAGGCTAGACATGTGGTCCACAAACCCGAGAAGATAAGTCCGGATGGGGAAAGGCTTTCGCAGAATCCTGTCTGGGGCTTTCTTGGCACACCTCCGGACATGCTGCAGCGCTAAGAGCTGCCCTCAGCCCCAGCTGTAGTGCTGCCCAAACATCAGCCTGGTGACTGCCAGGAATGCGTTTCTTTTCCAGCTGGATAACTGGTATTGCCTGACTAATTGAGTCCTTTCCACAGATTATTTTTAAACAACTTCACAAAATCCCAGCAAGTCAACTGATATTTGTCAGGAGCATTTCATAATGAAATTGTTAGCAATTTGACGCAAGTTTTTAAAACTTGATTAAAAGCAAACAGCACGTTCCTTGAAGCCAGAAGTCAGGCTGCTTTGCAGGACTGTTACTGTAAACACAATAGGATTCATGCCCATAATCTGCTCTCTGTTCATCAGTTGCTAGTACAGCTGAAATATTCTACTCAAAACAAAAATAATTAGTAGTTTTGTTTGATGCCGTTAGATACGTATCTCTGCTTTTTTTTAATGAGCTATGTTTTTAAAGCCCCATGATTACTTTATCATTCACATTGTTAAAGTAATAGTAATGGATGTTGGTGTCTCTTCACTGATTTGAAAAGCCAGACATTGCTAACGTTGTCGGTTTCGTTGACTATGACTTGACATACTCGTTCACTTCTGAGACCAACAAATCTGCAGAGAATTCCCTACAGATTATTGAGAGATGATGTGAATAATGTTAAGTGTGTCCCCACGGACTTTCAGGATGGATATGCATAATCAAGCATGCAGTTCTCAATACTAATTCTAATTACTTTTTTTTTTTCTTCTTCCCCTAAATCACTAAGGTTCCCCAACCAGAGATGTGGGGCCTTCATTAGGTCTGAAGAAATCCAGCTCATTAGAAAGTCTGCAGACAGCCGTCGCTGAGGTGACTCTGAACGGTGATATTCCCTTCCACCGCCCGCGCCCGCGAATTATCCGAGGACGAGGCTGCAATGAAAGCTTCAGAGCTGCCATAGACAAATCATATGATAAACCTGTAGCAGACGATGATGATGAAGGCATGGAAACTTGTAAGTAAGCTATTGCTGTACATAAAGACTGTTAACAACATCGATTAATTCATTTAGAAAGTGATTAAAAGTAGTAGAAGATAATTTTAGGATTTTAAAATAATATACCTAATTTCTCATCATCAATTTTTTTTCAGGCTTTTTTCCTTCATATGCATTAACAGATTGCAACACTGTGCAGCTTCCTTCCTTTCTGAAATAAGGAAATAAGATTATTAGGAGCGTGTTTACTTAAATTACTATGAAAATTTTCTCTAAGACAGCTAATTAATTTACTGATGTAAATTAGAAAAAAATTACACAGAAAGACAAAACCCACTGAATTTATGTTACAAAAATATGTTCATCTAACTTTGAAAGAGTACATTTGTAGTGTCTGGGGGAAAAAAAGAAACCACTGTCCTTTAATTAGAGTGAGTAAGGCTGGCAGATCTAATAAAGTATAAAGTTAATGATCAGCTATTACCCACCCTAATGGGCATTCATTTACATTTTCAGTTCTTTAACCCGAAGTATGACCCAACATGTGGAGAATGTCATTAACATAAAAGAATCACTTCAAAGCTAACCTTATCATTATTGAACTATGTAAGAATGGGCTGGTAAAATGACAACTCGTACTGAATGAAAATAGTATGAATGGTAAATTACCTCAATCAGGGGTTGTATTAAAATCATTGAATTTTTAACCTTTATGTTGTACTACTTTCAACTTGTCACACACCAGCAGACTTTTTTTTAATCAGCCTCCAGCTAGTTAGAAGTTATGAATGAAGATGATGGTGGGAAGTTTGAAGTAGTAAAATATTTAGCCTGAATGCTAGCAGAAAAGTCTTGAAAAGATTTTTCACTCTCCACTCTTTTTTAAATTTTTTAGTTTCAGAAAGTCTGTTTCATAAGCGTCATTTCCTAATATTCTTTTATAAGCTACTTGTGTAATCACTTTTTTTTTTGAAAACTCTTTGCCTTTTTTTTCTTCTTTAAATTGCCCTGTTTGTAAAAGTGTTCTGAGACTGAAAGGGAGGTCATTTTGCCAGTCACTTTTCTCAAAGGTAGTTACGGATGGAATTAATTCTGCTTTGCTTTTCCAGCACCTAGCAATTTCACGCAGCAGTGAGGCTAAGTGCTGGTCTGGTGCTGCTGGCTGTCAATCCGTTTCTGGCCAGCAGAAGAATAGGTATGAGAAAATGTGTCGTGATCCTGATCATTCTCCCAGACTGCATGCCTGTGGTCTTTTGGGACATAACACCATGTTTTTTCTAAAAGGCCTTCTTTGGTGTGAGCCTCACTGATAGTAATACCCTGTTTTGAGGCATCAGATATCCAAGGGTTATCCAGAAGTTACAGCTGGTTTAACTTCATTTGATCAAAAATATAGCAAAACTCTTGTCACGAAACACTTTCTAGATGCCTATAGGTTTATGAGATTGCTGTAAGGGGTTTTGAGCCTGTTGATGGAATGCATAGAGAGTAGCAAGGAAGTATTTGGTGGCCTTTGTGTCCTTTGTATGGGAGTAGCGGAAAGCAGATAAAGCCTTCTGGCTGAAATCGAAATGCCATGGAGTGAGTCTGTGCCCTCATCACTCTATGGCTGAAGTCATCTACCACTGGTGAGTGGTATGACAAGAGCCATGTCAGCGTCGTGGGACAGCAAGAGCGAGGCTGTTCTCAAATCTCATGTGGTAAAGAAGGGCTGAGCAAAGTGGGACCAAGCTATATGCATAGAACTACACGTTCTATTGAGCTACGTGTATTTTAATAGCTTCCACATATTATAATAAAACATCTAAGGAGTAATCCAGAAGTTTGCAGTGCCGGGTTAATAGAAGCAGATAAGTACCAAAGCAAATATAGTAAGTTGGTTGAACAGAATTCAGTCCTCGAGGTCTTTGCCTTCTCATGGTGGCCATGGGAGCTTAAGAGCTGGCCCAGCCATGTCATGCCTGCAACCAGCACAAAATGGTAGGTCCTCAGGTCTGTTTTTCCAAGAACATGTCTGTATCTGTGTTAAAAATGAAAGAAACTGCAGTCTGCTCCACTTTGTGTAAATCAGGTTCCGAAGAATTTACCAGCTGGACAAAGCCTGGGCACATACGAATATGTAGAAGTTAGTTTAACAATCTGGTCCTAACGTAACTAATGCCTCACTGCTGCTATAACGACATTGCCTAAGTTTTTTTTAATTGTATTTAATTATTCCATAATTGTTTGAAATTAAAATGTGGCTTTCTCTCATTATAAAATCCAGGCAAACATGTTGGTGGTCAATTTGCTGATGCCCTTGTGGTTGGATCCATTTGTCTTACTTGAATTTCTTCCACTTTCTCCTCCTAGTGTTTCAGCGCTAAGACTTCTTCCAGACAGTGACGTTCTTTGGAGTAGCAAATAATAGCACTGCAGTAAATTGTATAGGGGAATTCTTAACATGTCATCACCCCATATATGAAAGCCATAAAAATACAGGTAGCGTATATGGCAAAGGGGCTGACTCTCTTCTGAATGTACTTGCTGTCCTTCGAATAATGTGTTATTAAATTACTAAATGTAGGATGAAAATCAGATAGCAGTGACCAGTTCTGGGACAACATTTTAAAAAGTATTTGAGAAGATGCATGTGAATTTTAATGGAAGTAACATTTGTGGAAAGGTGTGGGTGTTCAGCTGTTACAGATCATTTTTCCTGCTTTTTTTTTTTTTTTTTTTTTAAATACTTGAAATAGCGGACTGGAAGCAAAATGTTTATCTTTAGTGTCTTGAATGAGAACAAGGCATTCGGACTGGGAGAGATCAACAAAGCTTTCTAATCTTTTGCTGAATCTTAATTGCTAGAATCTAGGGCTGTATTAAATATCACAATAAGAGGCCTAGAAGCTTAGTGGCAAAATAGCTTCACATTAAGTAGCTTTGATTCCTCATGTGCATCTTTTCTTTCCATTTTATGGCCTAATTAGGAGAATAGCTTCATAATACCTGTTTGTGTAGTTATCCTTAGTACAGTGTGGTTCATGAAATGACACCAGTTTTCAGGTTTAATTGATGTTTAAATTATACTCCAATTTAATTTTTTGGCTTTAGCATCCTGAATGGGGAGGCAGGAGGTTGCAGGAAAGGAAGGAAATAGCAGCACCAAAACAAATACGTTTTGCGTTTTGCAGTAACCTAATGTCATTACTGCAACTTAACAAAAATTAGAAGTTTCATTTGTAGCCTGGGCTTGAATTTTAATTGTGCAGCATTTGCATTTGTTCTAAACACTAGTAATTAGGTGTATGTTAATTGCAGAATGATTGTGCTGCATAAAAGTGAAACAAGTTTCTCTGTGTTGAGTCCTTTTAGGAAGACTGGAAATCTCTTTACTGCAGTGCAGACAGCAGTGTTTACTCCAGGAGAACAAGCCATCCTAGTTCACAGAGCTCAGTCTAAGCTATGGAGTTAATTGCAAACAAACTGTGTATGATACAAATATTTATTGCAGCACAAGTGTGGAAAGGAGGCAATATTATCTCCATAGAATATGCAAAACAAATAATAAGAGGAAGCATTGTTATGACAAGTTGTTCAGCAACTCAGCATAGCACAGCACACTGAATACATATTTAAGATTAATTTATTGTATTGTTATATGAATATGATGAACAACCATAGCTCAAAATTGATTCATCTTTAAAACTCTAGCAATGGAGTACCAAGTAAACATTTGACTTCAGAAATTATCAGAAACTTAATGCATTTGTTTTACTAATTATATTCATTTGCAAGTACAATCTTTTAAATATCTAGTTGGTTTTAACTAGAACAGATTGTAGCTATAAATTAACAAGCAAAAAATTAGCATCTCTGTTCCAAAGTGGTTTTCCACTACTCTTTTAATAATAACTAAATATCATCCCAGACATTGATTAAGAAATGCTGTGACCAAAAAAAGTACAAGTACAGCTAGCCCAGAGCATGGATAGGACAGGCTTATTAATTTTCTAGAATATAATTATCTGTGTATTCAACCTGTGCCTGCAATTGAGAAGCTGTATCATCTGCTTAACTCATAGCAGTCCTGAAGACAAGCTAACATGAAATGCCAAGACCTGTCCTCTTTTTTTTTTTTTTTCTTTTTTTCCTGGTGGTTTCTACTTCAGAGTACTACTTGAGATTCAAAAATAGTTATTAATGTTGAGATTTATCTGACATGGTGTGTTTTTCTTGAAATGTGTTTATGTGATCTTCCAGGATTGGAGAATGTTTGTAAAAATCTTGGGATGCTCGGTGAATAAGTACTAAGTCTATTGGACAGGTCTGTGTATTGTAATATTAATGAATAAACAGTATTTTGCAGGCAAGTATCCAAGAGAGAGAGAGAGGAGACAATATTGAATGGCTTTCAGTCAGTGATTTGTAGACTTTTCAGGTTCAGTGAATTACTTGTAAGGTGAATATGAATGATGACTAAGAAAAGCTAGTTTATATTCTATAGTAGTCCATGTATGAGAAATTTCTAAAGAATTACGCACTTCTGTTGGTTCTAGAAGTGTTGTGGGGGGTCTAGAAACAGTAATATTAGTAGGAATAATAATAATAATAAGCAAACATGCTAAACTAAAAAGTGATTCTTTTTTCCTTCTATAAGCCATGGCCATTTCCAAATCAATTAAGTACAAAAAATTTTTTCTTTTCCGTAGACTGGGTATATATAAAGCAAAACTGTATTTTTCAGCTTCTACTGGCAAAAGTTGTTTGGCGCCTTTGTATTTGTTAGAGCTGCAGCAGAGAGCACAAAATATGCATCCGAGATCCGAACTGCTGCTTTGTCCTGTCTGTTGGAAAATTGGGAGATGGTGTAGCCCTACTTACAATGTGATAATATAAAATGTTAGAGCTCCTGGAAGGTCACAGCTTCAAAAGCCATGCAGTGTAATTTTTGGACTTGGCTTTATGTTAAATCAAAATAGTTGCAGGATTCTGATCCACGAGCTTGACATGTATTATTTCTTTCTCACTAAGCTACTTGGGGAGTTTTCAGTTTTCAAATGGATTGTTTCTTTTGGTCATTTTTCTTTCAAACTTTCTGAAATACATGTGCTTTATTAAATCTAACCTCAGGTGTACTTTAGGATACCGTGAGTCTTGATCTTGGATTAGAAATGGAGAAGAAACATGTTATCTGCCCTTAAAGGATTTTACGTGTTCCACTGGATGGAACCTCCCCACCCAAAACTCCCAGGCTGCCCCATCTCAACCAAGAATAAAACCAAGAACAAAAATCATGGTGCATGATGTGTTTTAAACTGCTCCAGGAAATGAAGTAACAGAATAACAGTTCTCTTACTTGCAGCAGAAGAAAAAGTCTAGTAAGGCTTGTATTGAGGGTTAACAGTCCTTAATGGCTTTCATATTTTTATGAGAGCATTACTAAGAATTTACTAACAAGGCATGCTGCATTGCTGCTGTTTCTTCTTGCAGACGTTTCTAAAGCTCTCCTCAACTGATTTAGATGCTGAAACAAAATGGGCCAATTAACATCACTTTGCTAATCCTCTTTATTAATCCATACACTATTGACAGTACTCACAAAGCGTGTTTTGCAGAGTGTTCTGCAAAGATGAATTCTTTATTTTTAGGAGTTTAATAGTACAAATGAACATTCCAGGAAACCTCCACATAAGCAGATACCAATTTTGGGAAAAAAAAAAAAAAGGAGTCGTTTGTGGTTGTGCATATATCCTCTTCAAAATATGTTATGCAATATAGCAAAAAGCCTGCTCTTGTTGTTTGTTTTTACCCACTGATGTTTCTTAATATGTGCTTTCAGTGGAGGAAGACACAGAGGAGAGCTCGAGATCTGGTAGAGAATCTGTGTCCACAGCAAGTGATCAGCCATCCCACTCGTTGGAGAGACAGATGAATGGAAGCCAAGATAAAGGCGAAAGAAAAAAGGCTGGAAAGGAAAAGAAGAAAGATCGAGATAAAGAGAAGGATAAAATTAAGGCAAAGAAAGGAATGCTGAAAGGCTTAGGAGACATGTTCAGGTAGGTGCTTTGCAATCAAATATAGAATGAATTATAAAGTTTCATCTTTTAGTTGTTCATTTACATTGTGACTGTCTGCTGAAGCCATGTTTTACTATAAAAAGATATGCATGATGTATATAAGCTGATCTCTCCATTTCTGAGCTTATGAGTGATGTCATGAAAGGGAAACAGCTCAGAATGGAAGAGGAGGAGATGGCTGGCAAGCTAAAGGGGCTGCAAAAGAAAAAATAGGTTTAAGCAACAAACTGCTTGGTCTTGGAAGAGGGTCTTTGGTGATGTTGAAGTAGTGCACATATCCTTTTACAGTCAAACAATTTAGAGTTTCGTTTTTTTCTTAAACTGTGCTGTTCCTAATACTGTACTTAAAGCTTATGTGTTACTAAATGAGTGGTTTTCTTTGCTTGACTGTTAAGACTGTTTGGTATCATGGAGGCATGATGCAAAAGAGATGAATCAGTTTGAGACTGAAAACCAGCATGCTCCTCTCAAGGAAAACAGGATCTAAATAAGGTTGTGTGCTCTGAGAACGCATGGTGTGGAGAAAGGGTCAGTGAAAGACCTGAATTTTACCAAGCACTGAGTTTTTTTGAAAGGAGTCGTCTCTCCAGCAGACATAAGTGACCTGAAAGGAGCAGACTGCTGAGGGACACCCTGCTCTTCTGGGTAAATAGTGAAACATGACAAACACCTTTGATCATTTGTGGGAAGGGATGAGAAAGCAAGAAAATCAGTCTTTCTTTTAGTTAACTAGAGTAAATAAATATATTTCCAAGAAAAAATAGTGTTAAGGTGGTGTTTAATTTCTTTTGTATATGCAGTGATTCATTATTTAATTTTGAAGTGAGATACCTGTATTATTTAGAGATTTATTAACAGTGATTCTGCTCTGAGAACATGTAAGTGGAGCTTCAGTTAACTTTCATCCTTCTTTTAACTTTTACCTTCTTTGTCCTGTAAAACATTAATTGAACTTAGGTTGTAACTGCGTAGGTTCTTGTAAAGTTGTTCTGTGTCGGTGAATCATATTACAAAATCAGTTAATTAGAAAATATTAGTTAATTAGGAAAAAAAAGTAGTTAGAAATTGTGTTTATAAAATCCAAAATATCAGGTTGTTAGACAGCATATGCCACAGAATATCAGAAGAGTCATAGGAGATAGTTCCACACTTGAGACAGGAGTAGAGCTCTTCAGCCTGGGCAAGTCTCACAGCGATGCCCTCATCTTCTGAGTGTTTGGCTACCCAAATTCAAGCCTGGAGCAGAGAGCTGCCTGCTGTGCTGGGGAAGGGTGGAAGGTCAGAGATACGAAATGCTGACTGGTTCTTTTCTGCAGTCTATGCCATTTTCATACAGCAGTAACGACAGGTAAAATTGAGGCACATTATACATGATAAATTCTATGGGCTCTAAATAGCTTATGGGGTACCATGAGTGCTATCTCGTGAGTTCAGTCAGAAAGTGGTTACAGCATCTAGGAAGCTTGGGCAGCATCTTGGTCCTCAGTTTCCTCCTGTGTAACACTCCCAGTACCCAGAGGACGTGTGAGATAGCTGCTTCATCTTGCAAGCTTTGGCACGCAGGCAAAGGGCTGGCTTCAGAGGGTCCCATCCGAAGAGAGGAGCCTTCATGTTCCAGAGAGCCAGCTCGGTGCGGGGCTCCTCTCTGCCCTGCAGCCTTAGAGCCTAATAACTGGTGTTCCCATGTGGCTTTGAAAGCTCTAGATGGAAATGAGCGTGAAAGTGAAAATTAATAGCATTTTTAATCAGGTGCTCCCAGCTGAAAAGGCAGTATCCCTGTCTGTATGCTCAATATAACACTTCTGGAATCTTTAATCTGGAAACAACAGTAATTTAACTGAGAGGAAGATCTGATGATCACTTTGTTGTTTGCTCTTCATAACAGTCAACATTTCCTTGAGTTATTTTTTTCCCTGACTACCGTCTCTGAGTGAACTTTACTTTTTGGTCTCCTCTTAATTAACGTGCAAGCGGTGCTATCTGGATGCAGTTGACTCCTCCTGGATCTGTGAATTAGCTTGCACCTTGTCAGCCCACCCGAGAGAGGTGCTCCTGGCAAGCAGGAAAATGCTGATTGAAGGAATTAAGCAGTATACCTCATTTCCACTCGGTGCTTGATTTGCTTTGTTTACAGGCTTCTCAGTAATGTTTGAGAGAGATGGACTTTGTTAAGCCTGCAAGATAAGCTACTACTTCTGCCTATAACATGGTTTGTTTTTCTGTACATCTGACATATACCATAGATACCAAGTAATCACTGACAGAAGTTGTGCAATAGAAAATAATGATGACAGTAACATTTAAAATTCAAGCCATGATCAAAGCATAATTGGATGTTTTGGTTCTGTGCAACATTGTGATTTCTTTGTAGTTCTTTTTCTTTTCTCCTTTTTCACTTTTTTTTCCCCCCTTTCGGTGCTCTTATCTTAAAATAATCTTTCTTCATTAGGTTGTATGGGCAAGAACACTTGTGGGATGAAATTACTGTTAACTGACACTTTATTCCAATGTCTGTATTTAGCCAAGGGGCACTTTATTGCCTGTATGCAAACTGGCAGCTCCTAAAGTAGAGTCTATGTGATGTATAAAAGTAAGTCTGCTTGCCTTCAGTTAAAATCTTAGGATTTGCTACTGGGATCTTCATTAAACTGTATTATGAGATGGAAACTCCCACTAGAGAACCCTTGGATACATTTATCCTTCAGCATCTAGTCATCATTTCCAAGCAATCCCTGGATGATTCAGGTAGCAGGTTAAAATCATAAGTAAATCTTTTAAGCACTTCGATTGTTTTACTGCTTGTATCAAACACAGTAAAGAAGATTGACGTTTCCGTGAAGGAGAACTGTAAAATGCAGGGTGCAGCCTGCACAGCTTTGACACACAGAGCTCCCGTTATTTCCAGAGGACCTTTGCTGACAGTGGGCTGTGGACAGTTTGAAAGTTCACCCTTCTCACTGTGAAATGAATCTGTCTGAGCATGTGTGTATTTCTTTATTCAAATTGACATTTCAGAGCAGAACAGAATAATTTATTTAAATTTGTCATTTGGCTGAGAAGTTTCTTTCTCTTTGGATGAATACAGGGCAAAAGTTAACCTAGAAGAATGTTGAACAAAAATATTGGTCTATTGGAGGAGATGGAGGTGCTGCAGAGCTTTGCTTACACCTGAATGTATTTGTTTTACCTGAAGAGTTGCATCATTTCCTTCGGTAGTTCATGTGCCACGTTCTGTGGCTTTAATCCCATACTAGAGAGAGGCTGTGCGGTTCCTGCTTCTCCATTGCTGGCATTTAAGGAGGTGCCTGGGTGGCCACTGCCAGCTGAGGAAATAGTTTTTGGAAAGCTGGTAGAAAGTTCTGCTAGTTTCTGTGTTTCACTAAGGCAGCTTGAATGTATATATGTTTTGACATCAAAACGTAGTAAAAGTCTGTATGCTTCTCCAAGTGCAATCTAAAATGTGTTTACTCATTTCTGAGCCTGATTTTGTTTATTTGTAAGTAGAGATTTTGCTTCTTGATAAAAATCAACCTGACAAAACCAATCAGTTGATAAATAAGTCATTGTAGTGCTGCCTTAAGAAAGAGGCTTCACAGTTTCAAACAGTGTGTCAGTAATTAGTGCTGGTAGGGATACGTTATTTTGATGGGCTTCTATGTTGTGCAATTCTTCGACATTCCTCTCCTGAGAGAGAACATTGTACATGCCACCTTCTTTTCCCCTCCTCCTACCCCTGTCATGTACAGAGTATTTTCATTTACGAAAGTGAGTGTCCTCAGGGTCTAAGGTAGGGAGATTTGATATTGTTCTTACTTGCGGGTTTTGGGTGATGATGAAATGGCACTCTGCTGCGGTGCAGCTGATCGCTTAAGATCCCTGTACGTCATTCATGCTTATTCCCGGCGTACAAACTTGGGTGTATTTTCTAGATGGGTGACTGGGACTGGTGAACTAACAGGTGCTAGGGAAATAAAGTGGTAGCTCCACATCTTTCCCCAGCTTCCTCAAGCCCTATATAATTTTCCTCTAGTCATTCCTGAACAATGGTTCTGTAAGACAGTGGCATCACTGTTACTATGCCCCTTTGGGGGGGGGAATTTATCTTGTTTGCAAGGAATTACATAGCCATGCTCTTACTGGGGAGCTTGTATAGGAGAAATATCATTGGAGAGTTTTGTGAGAGAAAAAGTCTGTCCAGCAAGTGATTAGTCTCAGGAAAGGATATATCTGAGGAATGACATCTTTAGAAGAAACTGAACTACCAAGATGTTGACAATAAGGAGGGAAAAAAAGCAACTTTGGGTTTCCAAAGGGAGGAAGGGAGTAGGAAGACCAAGCTATTTAGTCATGTCTTGCTGGAAATATTGGAGGGACAGTCACTGCTTGATAATAAAAACCTGCTGAAACAAGTAGACATTGGTATGATCAGATAAAAATGGATTTGCAAATATAAATGGTATGTTTGAGTTTACGTGGGGAACTGCTGAGGAGAATAAAAGATGGGGGATATACACATTGTGTCTTAACCTTGAGTTTAAGCAAGCAAATATCTGTGTTGGTTTTAGAGGTTGCTTATGAAATGGTTGTAATATAATTTGAAGCAACTGTGGATAAGTATGTTATATGAAATAAGTAAATTTTCTACTGTAAGAATATCTCGGTCCCACATAAACATAATTTTTCAACAGGGAGCATAAGCACTGTGTATTGAAGTTTGTGGAACAAGACAGCATGCTTAAAATTAATCATGTGCATAGGTGTTTTTAGTACTGGAGGCTGTGTATTTCAAGATCTGACCTGTAATGCTGATGGAAATGTAAAGTCGTAACGTATGGTAACTGAACTTTAATTTCTATCTTAACTTTTGTAGGATACAGGTGGGTAAATCAATGCACTGGATAGCCAATGCAAATATAATATTCCCAGATTACTATTAAAATCTAATCCTAATTAGATTTAACCACATTTAAAATGATTACTGGGAGCTTTGCAGTGTTGTATCTTCCAGTTCTGTGAGAGGAAATAGATAATTTAGTTTGCAACCTTGTTTAGCTGAAATCAGATATACTGTTGCCTTTT